TAGTTAAGAAGTTTTTGGAAATGATGTTGGTCTTATTTGGTAGATCATCAGGTTTTATCCATGTGACTTCAGCCCTTCGCTAATATCCTTTTTGACGTCGCATAATGTAACTGTATATAGCCTTATTTGCTCTAAATCTTGTTCAGACCTTATGGTTACCCTAAGGGCTAGCTCCACTTAGATACCCACTTACAAATGGATCTTTTTACTCTAAGCATTACGCTAGGACTACAGCATAAAGTGCAGGACTTCAGCTCGGACGCAGTTCAAGAAATGCTGCAAACAGGACAGTACTAGTCCAAAGATAAGTACTATCTGATACGTAATGTTTCATATCAAAGAAATGCAAGTACTCAATAGCAGCACTAAAACCTCAACGTTTATACCTATTCCGCCAAAGATCTAAGTACATCTATATGTACAATCCAAGTTCTAGCAATCTAGCCCTATAAAATGAATCATTAAGGACCTTAAAAAAAAGCAAGCAAAAAAGTAGTTGATAATCAAACAGTCACTCAACCCTAAATAGCTTGAGAGAACAACAAGATAACATTGGCGCAAATTGGTTAAGTTAGTGTTAACTCGAGTAGGCTGAAATGTCACTTCGTTAATAAGCCAATCAATTTAGAAAAAGCGGCAGAGATGCAGTGATTCCTGAGCCGATTATCAAATGTTGCTCTCAGTGCCAAAAGCTAGCGTTTGGAATTAATCATGATTCATTACTCAACTTCTTCTACTTATCGTTCAAAAAATAAAAGCCCTAATATATTTTACGATCAACAATTTTGCAAAGTCAAATTAAACGCAAGCAAAGCATCCTCCTTTGTGTACTTTTGCACGTAGCTAATGTCACGCATATCAGCCAAAATGTCATTGGTAACCTGTTTGCGAACTTTTTGCTCTGCCAAGCAATAGGCAAGACACGAGTGAAAAGAATTATGAAAGGAGATTTCTCTGGGGTGGAACCCCTCAATCGCGAACACCTATAACTTCGCCTAGATGACTTGATAAAACTAATTTCAGACAAATCTCGAGGTCGTGATAGTGAAGATCCAAGATAGTAAACCAGCAATGGTTACTGGTTACACATCTGGCTACGATACCCCGATACTGGATCAGGTAGCCAACGTGTCACCTCAACTGCTCAGCTTCAACAGTGAGTCTGAAATTCTTCGATTCGATTTAAGGATGTATACATTCTACACTTTTTGCCGAGGATTGAGCAAATTTAGACAATCAGCTGACCTTCCGATTCAGTCGACCTCTTGGTGAGAATGGGGCAAGAAAACATAAGTTGGAAGATTGCCAGAATTGGAGCGTGAGTCACAGAATTTCTCTTCACAAGTAAATATCCAAAATAACGCCAGCTAGAAGTCATAGTTGAGGATCTGCCAGGTAATGTAGGAAGAAACGTTTATTAGTGGTTAGCCAAACGTTTTATGGTAAACCTTCTACAGGAACAGCCAACTGGTTAGGGGCAGTGCATAATTTCTAATTTTATTGCTTAAACTCTACAAAGTTTTCGAAACATATCGGTCTAATATCAACTGAATTTTGATTTTGAATAAAAGAAGTTGCTAGACAGCTTGTTGAAGTCCTAAGCTACAGTGGTAAACTCCGTAAATCAATTTGAGTTTTACTGTAGCCTCATAATAATATATTAAGCATAAATGCACTTACTGCTCTTCATAACCATGATCGTATGTTAAGATCTTGATTGCCACACCTATCCTTACCCAGCTTCAAGCAAGCTCCTTTTCAAGTCTTTCCTGCATGAATAATGTGTATTTCAGTTCGTAAAGGAGGGAGATTTGAGCGCTGATGAGATCGCGCCGCACACAACGAAACCGATTACAGTACATGTGTGTCCGAAGGAGTGCAAGACTATAGTATTCCGCGACTAACTCGATGCCATCGCTTTGCATGCGGGTCCAACTTAACTAGGCCTACCGACTTCCTAAGTGCTTGCCGATTCATCCTTACCATGCCGTCCTTGCCGTAGCTTCAGCTTTTTCATTTTAGGTGCAAATCCGTAATAAAGCATTTGAAATTAACAAAAGCATTTGATGAAGTGATATAAACTGTGCTGCTTCGAGTCATTTCAATCAATAAGTCAGTTTATTACTTTCACATTTTACCAGCGTCTCACCAATGCCAGAAAGCCATCACGCAAGAGTTCTACTCCATATACATTTGTCACGAAATATAAGTGTTTCTGGTTGACTCTGTTCAAGACCAATAACGAATTTTCTGAAGAATTCACTTCATTAATATGGATTGAGCGGAAAAGTTCTGATTTGATGTTTAGGACCACACGTTAGGTTCTGTGCTATCCTGCTACAAAGGAAATTATTGGTCGAAGAGATAATTTGAAGTCATGCATAGTGTTAGACAGCTTGAAAAGCTGATTCCATATCTGTCTTCCATATCTGCATTTCTAAAGAAATTATGAAAGCTGTTGTGCTAAAATCAGCCTGTGCGACTCGTCAATCAATTTTAAGAATTCTGCTGAAACTGCTATATAACGCTAAATTCAATCTGAAATAACTAGTGAGTCTTTAGTCTTCATTAATATTCAGCCCGTTGCTGTTTGGGTCAGTGGGCTTTTGTGCACTCTAATCCAGGTCTAAGCTGTTTTTGATAAGGAAAAATTCCATGACTTCTTACAGAGAATTGTTTCGTAGGCATAGAAAATTTATAATAAGCGTTCCATGTTACATTTAACATTGTTCCCCATTCCAAATCGCCACTCAAGTGTCCTCCATTTGTTAGGAATTGAGCAACGAGATTGAAGAAGAGTATATTTTTGATGAAGAGTACCAAAAGGAAGTATCTCGAAAGCTGTTTGCTTTTACAATAACAACTTCAATGATAAGGGGCCGCAGTTCTTGTCTCTAAATTTCAAAAACAATTGCATTTCATGCATATTTTAAGTGCTTGGTCTCGCTGTGATTAAACAATGTACTTTCTGCATTTAAGAGCAAAAACAAATAGACATTGCGTCTCGTTTGCTTCTGATAGATCCTAAAATTTTTCTCTAGACAAAATTTCTTGTGATGCAAAAGGTCAAAAAGTAATTACATTAGAAAATGAAAAAATTTTTCGACAAGCATTTGATTAATAGGAGGTGATTGCTAGCTGATTAGTGCACCGATGCTTCACCTTCCCTTTTGTGGTTCGTACCGTTCATGTACTAAAGAACTAAATTTCTTGGTTTTAGCATTAGCAAAAATTTATCTCATTGAAAACATCACACGCGCTTCTGCGGAGTAAGACTCGATCTCACCTTCGCCGTCTCGAAGAAAAAAGGCACAGAGACCGTTTGATCCCACTGCTGCGCCTTTCCATAGCAACAGAAAAGGGACAACCAACTTACCAAGTTTTCACATCAGAATCACTCATGCCTCCGTGATGGTCTAACGCCATCGTGGCACGGGGGTGACTCTGGATATCGAACTGCGAAGTACAGCGGAGGTTTATCCTCCAGCAGGGTCTCGCAAGTTGAGAAGGAGCTCGACGTTTCCGGTTTCCCGGATGCCCAGCTAAGAGTAGGCCGTGTCAGAAGCGCCACCGTCTGGCTGATTCAAGTCGCTAGGTGGCACATGTCTTCCTGAAGGTCAGCGATTGCTTGCGGTGAAAGCATGGCAGGGCCCTGGCAAGGCACTGCTAATGTTTGGGGAGACTATTCATTGCCCTAACAGC